CTTTGGACATCCTCCCCCTAACTTAGAAAACATTGACCCCACTGTCGTTGTTTTTATTTTGTTTATTTGTTTTCAGTTTTTTTTTCTTCTGCTTGTCAGGAAATTCTGGGCTGGATTTTTTTTGACTGAGATGTGAACCCCCCCTCCCCACTCCCGAAAAAAAATTCTGGATCTGCACCAGTATTGGCAGTAACTGAATGTCACATCGATAACGGGAGATAACTTCACAATATGAAATTCGTCTAGTGTGGCATGCGATGATCTTTGACCCTTTTTGAACTTTAACCCAGTCGTTTGGGTTTATTTTACCCCCAGTTGTACTTACCGACTGTCATGGGTCATGTCAACTTCATGAAATATAATCCCATTATAACACAAAAGGAATAATCCAATGCACACCAGACTGCAGCATGTGCTGTTGCTGTCCCATTCGGCAAACCTTATCAGATGAAGTGGGAATCGGCCGAGGTGTGCCGAATGGTGTTTAATCTAAGAATATGATAATATGGGTCATGCAACCCAATGTGATGTTAGAAATTTTCCAAAAGGTGTTTACATGTTAACATGTATAGTACAAGAACAAATTTTAAATTAATTCATAACAAGCAATGTTTTAACAAAACTTTTCCATCTAGCCTATTCCCAAAAAAGTATGTGCTGTGTGTTTGTGGTGTCGAGGGGGGATTAGTAAATTAAAAAAGGTCCTATTATGAGCAAAATTTATCAAAATCTAATTTACATCATTAATTAAATTCAAAATGGTAATGAATTAAGCATGTAAAATACATATAAGAGGTTCTGAGTCATAGGTCAAAGGGTCACAGGGTCTGAGAATTTCATACTCAGTTTTACGAATACATGTTCCGTGTAAATTATAGAATTATTTTGACTTCCTTGGAAAGCCGCACAATATGTAGGAGTATGTATTTAGAGGGAAACACCTTAGTGCGGGTATTACTGTCTCATGACACATCTAGTTTATTTTTTATTGTGGATTCTTTTTTTTCTTTTTTTTTTCTTTTCTAGTACTTGTTTGTAGTAATTGTTTATTCCTTGGGTCTTAAATGTTACCACACATTTTAGTTTATGATTGTACGTCAACGAACTAATAAATATTTATCATTACATGTATATATGCATTTCTATATCTTCATTTTTTCTATAATGAGGATAAAACATTTTCAAAAATTATGTAATTGAATGAACCATTTTTTAAGTTAGCGGAGTGTTTGTACGTTGGGGGCGAAAGGATTGTCCGGCAGATAACGAAACAGAACTTGTTTATTCGGGTACGTAAAAAAAGAACACAATTTTACATTATTTGTTATTAATAAACGTAACCTAATACATGTACCTGAGATTCTACAAGCACCTGCATTTACATAATTGTCTTTGGCAGAATTCATTAGTTCAATTTCTTTTATTCTAGACGTTAACTCTTTTTCTATCATCATATTTAATCATTCTGTTTTTAAATGTACATTGTTCAGGATTTGGTGGTGGTTCCTGGTATGATAATACGGGTGCTGCAGCTGAGTTTGTTTGTCTACCACGTGATCCAAACCTGACCACAAACTTCACTTCCTCTGGTGCATTCATGTATGGCGCAGAGTACGACACAACTGACTTTGGTCATAAGAATGGGGATGACTTGCCGTGTGTGGTTTGCAGAAGGAAGACACAATCCAGCGTATTGATGATTCCAGGAAAGAACAGCTGCTACTCTGGATGGACAGAACAGTATCACGGATATCTAGCAGCAGGCTACTATAATTCTCCAGCTGCCACACAGTATATCTGTTTAGATGAACACCCCGATGTTCTTACAGCAGGAGAAAGGAACGACGATGGGAAATTGCTCGTCCCTGTGCAAGCGGTATGTGGGGCATTGGCCTGCCCTCCATACCATAATAATATGTACCTTACATGTGCTGTGTGCACAAAATAAACGCGTGTAGCAGAAATACATAAGTTTCTTTAAATTTCAATTAAATACTTATAAATTCTTGACATTTATCGCTTTTCTTTTTATATTTGTCCTATTCGACATCGCAAGTATTATTATAGATGTCAGACGTTAGAAAGCATTTTCTGACAAGACAAATAATTAGTACACAATACTAGCAGATTCAGCTTTGAAATGGACTTGCTCCTTGGGTTCATGACCCTGAATATTAAAAAGGTTGGGAGGTATATATATATATATATATATATATATATATATATATATATATATATATATATATATATATATATATATATATATATATATATATATATATATATATATATATATATATAGTCTCTCCATTTTGTTTAAAACACAATCAATTTTTTTTAAAAAACTGAAGTATTTCACCCTTGTGTAGAGCCGTATACTTTTAAAGTAAGGACATGATATAGTTTTTTTTAATGTTATCGCTAATTTTCATTGGATGTTTTCTAGCAAAGGAAATCATACATGAAACGTGCTATATAGTTACTTTATATTTAATAAATAATGAAACAGCTTACTTTATATTTGATATTTTAAGCAACATGTACATGTATAGAGCATTCTCTACTTATGAACAAGTTCTAAAACAAGATAAATTATTGATAAACAAGTTGATGAAACAAGAATATCAACTACCTCGCTTTAAGTCATCATTTCGTAAGTTCTATGGTCGATACAATTACCGTCGCGTTGTCATCAAATACAATTAATCATTGAGTCAAATGCTGACTGACGTTTTTCATACTAATTGTAACTCCATTGATTCACTGAATTAACGACGGATTTTTTAGTTGTTTCCCGATCATGACAAGGAGCACACAGCAGATATGACCGGTCGGCAGGGAATGCTCACCCCTCCATGGCACCTGATCCCCCCTCTGATTTTTTGGAGGTCCTTGTTTGCTCTGCTCCTATCTTTTATTGTTTTATGGACATTGATATTGATTACTGTTCGTCATCTTCATATGTTTCATTCACAAAGCTTAATTATATATTAAATAAATTAATCGAGACTGAGGGCGCACTTGATTTGTCTACACCTTACTACACCCGGTGTAGACGATTTACACCTTATTAACAAGTGAAATCGGGTGAAGTGTATAGCAAATTCAACAGGGACGTCAAAATTTCAACCAACTGAGTGGATCCTATTTGCAGAAGATTTTTCAATAAAATATTTGTTGCGACTGAGAACATTTTTAAAAATCCATTTAGAAACAAAACCTTTTATGAAAAGGCAAAGAATTTTTGTATAAAACATTTTCCTAGCTACCCATAATTACCCATATAACTAAATTTCTAGCCATAGTCAAAAATATCTAGAGACTTTATCACCCAAATTTGCCAAATTTGCTCATTTTTTATTTTACAAATTTTGAAGTTTTTCATTTTCCATAAAATGCACAAAACACGGTCCACTAAATTACTAAAAACTATTCATCACAATCAACCTATCAAATACTTGACAATAAACTCAAATACAGAAAAAGAAATATTACCGTCTCGTCAGCGCGCTGGCCATATTGAATTTTCGGTGCAATTCCGTACACAATACCTGTACAGGGTGTAGATGGTGTACACCTAAAGTGTACACTTTTGCACTTAATTATGGAAAATTGTACACCGGGTGTATGGTGTAGACAAATAAACCGCGCCCTTTATTATTTCCAACTATTTTATATTCAGTGATAAACTATTTTATGCCCCCGTAATCGAAGATTCGGGGTATGTAGTTTTTGCCCTGTCCGTCCATCTGTCTGTTTGTTTGTCTCTTTGTCCACAAAATCTTTAACCCTGTCCATAACTTCTGAGTAGGTGGACTTAGGTTTTCATATTTCACAGATGTATTTCTTGTGACAAGTCCTTTCTTTTTTGTACCACCAAATTTGACTTCGTGACCTTGAACTTGGAGTCTGACCCTTTTCTACCAAAAATTTCCGAACTTTAATCATAGCAATAATTTTTAATTGTTGCATCTAGGACTCTCATGCTTCACAACCATATTTACTGTAAGAAGACTTTTATTTTGTACATAAATATTTTACCTTTTGACCTTGACCTTAAAGTTTGGCTCCACTTAAGAAATAATTAATCATTACTATAACTTAATTGTAAACCGTAAGTATTAGGGTTTTCATATTTCACGGGCGTATTTCTTGTGACAAGTTCTTCGCTGAGATACAAATAATTTTGGCCTTCTGGCCCAGACCTTAATTAGAGAATTAATTGTTGACTCACTTAAACAAAACTTAAACCTTGACCATATCTTTTGAACCGTTAGTATTATCATATTTCAGATGTGTATGCCTTGTGAGAAAAAAACTTCTATTAGGTACAAAAAAAAATTACTAGTTCTAAGGCTTTCATTTTTCACGGTTGTATTTCTTGTGACAAGTCCTTCCTTTGGATACCAACAGTTTTGGCCTTTTGGCCTTGACCTTAATTAGAGGAACCTTAATTATCTTTTGAACCTTTAGTACTGTGGCTATCATATTTCGAATGCGTGTGCTTTGTGAAAAGACACCTTTGGTACAAAAAAAATCTTTTGACCTTGACCTTGGAGTTTAACTTTCATTTGTGAAATGACAATGACAACCCATAAGCTGCCATACGGGGTCATCAGTGTTTAACAAATACATCTTGCTAAATGTTTTTAAATAAAGATTGTGCCTCGACATTTTATGATATTTTTTTCTATATATGCAAATATTGTAGAGAATAAAAAAAGGTGCCTTAGGCTCATAGATATAAAGAAACAAAATAAAGGTGAAAACCTATTTAAATTTCTCTTACATATTTCATTACAGTTAATGATTAGATCTGTATTTAAAAAGAGCGATTGCGAATCCTTCATATTGTGTGTTTTAAAAAAATATTTATCGTGGTAGGATTTTTCTTGATTGCAAGTAGTCCAGACTCAAGCTGACACCAGAATTGATCGTTTTGTTTTAATCTGACATTTTTATTTATCCTGATTTGAAATAATGTAAGTTTTAGTTTTTGATTTCAAATATGGCGGCAGCGTTTTATGTGTGTTTTCTCTTTATACATATGGTACTTGGACTAACTGTAAATGGGAATTCAGAGAATTATCCGGAAGAGAGATTGTCTCAGATTCAGGACCTAAAAAGAAAATATAAAGATTTGTTATCCAAGTATTCTGATATGTCATCAAAGTATTCTGAAATGTCAACGAAGTATTCTGAAGTTTCAACAAAGTATTGCGATATATCCATGAAGTATTCCAATATATCTAAGAAGTATTGAAGCATGTCGAAAAAGTACTCAGAAGTTGTGACAATGATAGCTGAATACGACGTGAAATTTAATGCTACGTCAACAAAATCTTACGGTAATTTAATTTTTTTTAGATATTCGTTATATTAAGCTTTCAGAATTCATTTGAACATTTCATAAGGGAAATGCATTGTAATTTAAAGTTAATCTTCAATGTTCATTGCGCTCTAAAAACATAGTAAAACACCTTAGAAGTACCTCTACCTTTAAAAAAAGAAAAACAACAAAAGTTTTGGTATCTTTTACGGATTTGACAGGAATTGTCTGGGTTTTGAAAATTTTGAAAGTTACTCTCTTCGCCATGCCAGAGGTCAAGCTTTGTCAGCTAGGTTACCTTATACTATCAAGCTGTTATCCATGGAGGTTTCCCATATTTATACAAGAAATTAAGTCTTGATACACCTTATATAACAAAGTTGCATTTGCAAACGATCATTAGAAGAATTTGTTTTTAAGAAATCTGTAAGCGTCTTTCGTAAAATAATTCTTGACCTCAAATTGGCCACTTTGAATATACTCAAAGTTAAGTGGTTTGAGATGAATTGTGTGTTTTCCAAGTAAATATCTAATGTTGTGCGGTGTTGTAAAGTGATCGCCTCAATTGCTAATCCATGTTTATTATTTTTTTAATTTGCTTTTCATTCATCTTTTGCAATTTTGAATACATTTATCAAAGTAATATCATCAGATATAATGATAGAGAGCTTCTTTCGTTGTTCAACCCTGGCTGCGACTGACAAAGGTCAATACAATGTACAAATATGTAACAAATGTTCCTTGTCCAAGCTCTTTGGGGTAAAAGTTGCATATCTTTTGATTGATCGATTTTGTATAGTTATAGAATAATCATTCGAGATTTTTTTCATTGAGATATAGATACGTTATCTTATGTATTGAAGGGCTTCAATTTATATGTAAACTCTGTACTTATAACCATTTAGCAGTAAGGGTTCTTTATCATGCTAACGCCTTGTTTGACATGGGAATCGGTTTATAAGGTGTCATCCGATAGACCAGCGGTATTCCATTTTAGTGGCGGGCGCTTGACAAAGAAACGTCTTTTCCTTTATTTACGTCTTTGGTTTTACATGTACGTGGCTTCTCGAACCTGGGACTCCCGATCACGAAGCAAACGCCCAACCACTAGGCTACATGTACCATGATTGGTATTTTAAGGTGAAACAAATTTACATGTATCATCAAAACATCTTAATTCAATTTGTTTTATTCAGTGTTACATATAATATAAATATACATATTTTGTGATATTTTAATGTATATGAATCATAAATTTCTCCATATTCAACACTCCTTTATGTGATTTTGAAATTCAATTGCAAGATTCACTTTGTAATGACAACAATAAAAAAATCATTTTCTTTAAAGGTGCTTGATTACATGTACAATGATATATATTTCAAATGATTATTTCAATTCAAGTATATTACCATTATTCAAACTTAATTTATGCAAAATTCTTTCCAGCAGAATTAACAAGCAACAAAAAAGATTATGCTTTTCTGTGTAGCTAAAAACTATAGAAAGATTTATATTGATTCTAACAAAACAAATGGTTGATTTATTAGTTTACAATACTAGAGTAATTACAGCCAGTGGAGTGTTTGTACGATGGAGACGTAAGGACTGTCCTGATAACGAAACAGAACTGGTTTATTCGGGTAAGTTAAAAGAACCTTTTATTAGTTCAATACTTTTTATCATCTTGTCACGATACTAATTATTAAGGTTCCATTTGGGAAATGATTTTAATTTTCTCTCAAAACTTACGTGTATATTTAACTACTATCAAATGTGTACTATTTAATGCATATGTACATTGTTCAGGATTTGGTGGTGGATCCTGGCATGAACATCGTGGTGCAGCAGCAGAATTTGTTTGTCTACCACGTGATCCTAACCTGACCACCAAATTTACCTCCTCTGATGCATATGCATTCATGTATGGCGCAGAATACGACTCCTCTGACTTTGGTCATCAGAATGGGGATGACTTGCCGTGTGTAGTTTGTAGAAAGAAGACACAATCCAGCGTATTGATGATTCCTGGAAAGAACAGCTGCTACTCTGGGTGGACTGAACAATATCATGGATATCTGGTAGCGGGATACTATGCAAGTAAAGCTGCCTCACAATACATCTGTTTGGATGAACATCCAGATGTTCTTACAGCAGGACGACGTAATGACAACGGAAAATTGATTTATCCTGTTAAAGCGGTGTGTGGAGCACTGGCATGCCCCCCGTACCACAACAATATGCACCTAACATGTGTTGTGTGCACAAAATAAACACATGGAAACAGAACTGTAATTTTTGTCTAGTTTACATGTATAATGAAATAAATTTATGAAAATTGAAGCATTTCTTATTACATTTTCTCTCAGGGAGCTAAGTGACAAGACTAGATGTGCTAGGTAAGCCTATAGTATTTTTATTAAAATCCAGTTTCATGTTGCAATTAAGATATTTCAGATTAATCAAGAATTAAGAATTCATCTTTTATAATGCCGTCAACTGTGTACATCGTGACTTGCATTTAATTCAGTATTTCTTTTCCCAATCCTGGTTTCTGTAGGGAAAAAATGAAATCAAAGACAAAATCCACAGTTGAGATATAACAGATCTTAGAGAGAGGCTTGAAACTGAAGTAGAATTGACATCATGTCTTCTGCAATTTCAACAATACTTTCACAACAGATAAACAGAGTAGCAAATGAATTCGAAGTTAATGCTACTTTGCATGGTAATGTAGAAAAAAAATTCCAGTCCGACTAAAGTGATTGGTCAAAAAATATTAATGAATACTGCAGTGTATACACCTATTGGTTTTGTTGAAATTCTAATAATATTATGAACATCATATCTATTATGTTTCCGACATCTGAATATCATAAAAGTGTACAATTAGGAAATTTATTGACAATGCTTTACTGGTGAGCAAACCGTTTCACGGAATCGAATAACAATATTGTCTAGTTCCGCTACCACAAAAGTAAAAATAAAAAGTTGTAGAAAGCAAGTTTTTTCCAATAATTTTAATGGATTTTTTGTTATATGATTTGATTTTTTCCCAGTTGTTTCCCATGTTGTGTTCTTTCTTAAATAATATTCGTATAGTTTTTTGCGTAAGTGAAAATAGATTAAATATTATAGGATATCCGCCAAAAATATGGAAGTAACAAACAGTTATCCAGCTCAAAAATCCAGAACAAAAGAGAGCAGAAAAAGCACAAGCCTTTGAAAAATCAGGGATGGGATCAGGTGTCTGGAGTAGTAAATATCCTCTGTAGACCAGTTAAACCTTTCATTGGTCCCTTGTCATGATCATGCAAGCATATATTAACCCGTAGACAATTGGTAATGTAAACAATGGTTTAACTATAAGTATCAAAAACGTCGGTCACAAGTCCATGGCAAGGTTTTTAAGCATTTCTAGACAAATTGATATTAAGATTCAATTCATTTTTGGGGCATTTCTTGTAATTTTTGTATAAACCAATGCATAAATATTCTGAAAGCAGGTATTGCATAGTTTCTGAAAATAATTATTGAAATATCATTTCAGTTGCCATGGCAACGAAATACACCTGTCCATAATCATGCTAGAATTTCCACTTATTTAGGAATGAGTTTCATTCCAGTTTTTTTTTTTGCTTAGTTTAATATATTAAAAAATATTTTATTGTTGTATTGAAAATCATAAGCATGTTGTACATTTTTTTTTTTACAAACCAATTTTAAGTATTTGGTGGGAATGGGGTCGGGTTGGGAGGTAATCACCAGAATTTAGCTTTTTACATATAACGTGTTACCAACGATTGATTCTGATAATGGCAAAATCGCTCAAATAGTTTAGTTCAAGCTAGCAAAATACTGGTACAACCAATGAAATTTTTTTTCTGTATATTATTTTATCTTAATTATTTTCTCTTTCCAAGGTGCAAGATTTATTCTGATATATCCAGTATTAACGAAGTTATGAATGTTTTTTCACATTATGCTCGTTTTACAAGTCAGATGCGTAGAAATGCGTATATGCCATGTAAGGGGATTGTATTTGCTGATTTGAATTGCAAAATGATGCAAAATGATAAGACTGTTTATAAGTCTTTCTTCAACTTGTCTGTCAGTATTTCATTGTTTTAAATATTGTTCGTATACGGAGCGTCAAGAAACAATTTGAAGACATAAACGCTAATTATTGGTCCTTATTGTATAAGCGACGATTGAAAAAGCTGAAATAATCACATCTGCTTTATGATGTTTGTTAGGTTAACACAAACGTCCCTCTCCATTAAAATGTCCAGATAGAAAACAGATGTGTTGGACTGTAATGCATCTTTTGTTTTCTCTTCAATTAGGGTGCATGCATGCACATATGGAATAAAGAAACTATTGTCAGTAACATTTTGAACACCAATCGGAGAGGAAAAAAGGTTTTGTACACTTTGATAGGATAAGGTCGGAATAAAGTTCAAACCAACCTACACGGCAAAAGTGTTTGTTCATTGATAAATCGATCCTGGTTTAAATTTTGCAATCTAATTTCAAACAATACTCCTACTGAAAAGAGAATAGTTTGGGAAAAAGTTCACTTTAAGGTAAACCTTTACTCAGACGACTAAAAATTCCACTGATAAGAACGAAAAAACCCCTATGCCACATTGTACAACTATGACTCTTGTGTTTAATTTCAATTTCAAATTTTTAGGTCAATGACCCACTTTTCATGCTGGTGGCACTTGAGTATTTCTCGGAAAATACCTCAATTTTTCACACGATGACCTTTTTCCTTTCCTTACAAAATATTACAAGCAACACAGCTCTTTAAATAATGAAATATTATAGCAATGGAACAGCGTTGTTTTATAAAAAGAAACAATTAGAGTTTGGGCCATAAATATAAACTTAATAATTCTTTCAGTCCGAATTTCCTCAGTAATAATTATATTTTTTCCCAATTTTTAATCGAATATTTAAAAAAAAACTAAATGATAAGAACTTTAAATTATTTATAGCATCAGGTTACGTTTGTTGCCCTAATTCTCATGGTAATAATATTATATGGGATCAATGATCAAATATTGAGATATATTGTCTGGAATGGTTTCTGTGTATATTTTTGAATTTCTTTATTTCATAACATTCAATTATTTGAAAATATTTATGAGCATTAACACATATATTATTTTCAAAATTATGTTTAAAAATACGGGTAATCTTTACATTGTAATTAAAATTGCAAGAAATAATAAATTTTGACAAAAATGAAAAATTTAGTCCGAATTTCCTCTGCATTACCATACATTGACTTTTGTTCCTGTTTATTTCCTTCGAATAATTAACAATCAAATTTTTCATTGATATGAGTTAAAACTTTGTTATTTTATCTATTTAGAACAATTGTTGATGTAACATATTATTCTCCATAAATTTCTTTTCCTGTTTTCTGAAACCTAAGTAAACGTCCCTTAAGTCAAAATGTAAAATTTTCAAATTTCTTTTCTCGTCAAAGATAAAGAGAAATTGCTTTTCATTTTTAGGTCTCACAATATCAATTATTGTATATTAATTCAAGAATATATTGTTCATGTTGTTTCTGAAGAGGAATATTTAAAACTAACGTATTCTCGACAGTGTTGTTCAACTCTTTAAGCTTTAAAAAGAGAATGCAGGTTGGAGATTGCATTCTACAGTTATTGACCGAGTTCGAGTGCAGCATGCGTTCTGTCGGACCCCAGAACCAAACCTTTTGCCTGAGGCCGTTAAGTCGAATGCAAAGAGTTTGGTTCGACGATCAACAAAACACAATTTGCCCGAGAACACAGTCAATAAATGTCTTGTTATACCTTTAATTTGAATTTATTTTTGATATACATGTATTCTGTGCTGTTTCCCAAGATGTAAATCTTAGACCCGTCACTGTTGAATATAACGAATGCAAATGAGATTTAGCTTTGCCCGTTGTGTCACGTAGGAGTAAAATACAAAATCTCACTCAGTGGTCAAATATCGATTTCTTTTATGCCCGCTCAGTAAAATATTAGAAATGATAGACTTATTTGGTAAAGATTTGTATTGGAACAAATTTTTGAAGGTGTAACAATTGTCATTGCTATACTGTAAATATATATAAATACGAGGGTTGTCCTGTAAAATCGTGGACAAAGCGTTTTTCTCGAAAAGTAATGGGCGCACTAAGCTGAAAATTTCAGTAAATGTTTATTTATCATATTTAAGTGCATGATAATTTTTTGATGAAATAGAGACAAAAATAAAGATTTTATTATGCTTGAATGTGCACGAGGTATTGTCCTACGGCGCACGGTCAAAAAATCAAGGGTTTATTAAAGAATACACAAGTTTGAATTCAAAATAAAAGTTTTAAATACATAAGATTTGGATTGAAATTATCCTAATTCAATTTCACAATCAATTTTGTAGTCTTTGTAAAAATTTTAAGGCATTTGCTTAATTTTTGGCAGTTTCTTGAGCATTCGAAATGGGAAAGTTGTAAACACAACACACGAAAAATGGCGACATTTTATGACGTTAACGGCGCACCGGAGAACAGTTCAGTTTTATTTCGATGTTTTAATGACACCTTTAGAGACTTGAAATGACCATAGAAGAAAAAAGATTATTAAAATATCACCATATCTTAAGCATACAAATGAAATAGGAGTTTTCTTAGCGAAGTTTTATTTTGATCGAATCCCCGGGGAGTACAAAACATACGGACAAATAGCAAAAGATGTTTTGAGAAAGTATCAGGATATATTAGTGAAGTACTCTGACTTATCTACAAAGTTTTATATATTTTTGATATTATTAATTTCAGACAAAATATATGCATAAATAAACAAATTATGAGATTTTATGCCATGTATTGTATCACCTTACGGCGCATGGATTATAACGTCAAAGTGGCTAAAACAGCGTCACGTTTTATTTCTGCTGAAAATGAAGTTGGATGAGTCCCACTTAAATTTAGGAATTTCATTGATACACATTCTTTAGTCTCCGTAAACAGCCGAAGAACCATTTGGCACCCTCATGCGATCTTCTGAAGATTTATTAGTAAGTTACGGAAAATATTCTCACCATCGTTCAACTAATAGCTTTTAGGAATACTGCTGTCAATGATGAACAACTGCTCAGCTTTTAAATTTAATTGTATTGCAAATAATTTTACAATAAATGATCCACGGATAACGACCTGGATAAAACGGTAGTAAAATTACCTGCAGATATCAAAGAAGGGGCTATTCATTGCGATTGCCTGTCATGT